ACCACCCTGGAAATGCACGTTACAGGACAGGATGTGAAGGGTCTGACTTCAGTTTTAAGGGATTGCTTCTCTCTCCTTCCAAATGTCCAGAGGCTGTTTGTAGGCTTTCCCATCCTGACCAGCTGCTTGGGTGGAGTCCAGGTGGTTTGACACCCAGAAGGTTCATGCTTTCTCTGTGAGTCCAGCAGGCAGAGGACAACATGGTCTCTTGATCATAAAGTTGTCTCAAAACAAGTTTAACATGCCCTTGGGTAAAACTGTTAAATGACATGCATGGCAAAAGCACTATGTTCCCTTTACCTCTACGCACCAACCCTATAGATTCCTGCATGGAAATTACCCTATGCAAGCCATTAACATACACATTTCCTTTGCTTCCCCAACTGGTAAAAGACAGATACAGAAATGCAGCACATGTCTCCTGCACAGGGCCCACTCAGAACTCCAAGGGGCATCCACCCACTGATGCTTTGCTACAAGTTCTTCCCACTACTAACATGTCTTCTCTGCCAGCTGCCAGCTCACCCCAAGGCCCATCCTCAATCGCCTAGCAAGGGCAACTCTGAGGCAATTCCTTCCCTCCCTGACCCTGGCAAGCAGGTGCCCCTACTATTTTCCTAAAAAGGCCCACTGCCCTCTTCTAGGCTTCATGTAAGCAAGGGAGGAACAGAAGATGGGCACATGCCAATTGGCTTTAGAAAAAGAGGTTTTTGCACTTTTCCTACTTCAGAAAGCACAAACGTAAAGCTTGAGAAGAGAGGAAGGGGTGTAGAGGTGGTGGTAGATTTAGCTTTCCTCATTTATGTGGATGTGGCTGACAGCCCTCACTGCTGTCTTCCGCACCCCGGCCTCTGTTGTGGCTACCGCCAAAGGTATTGCATGAGCTACCCTGCTTATTTTCTGACCTGTGTAAGGTCTCTCTTTTCTATCCCAGTAAAACCAAACAGCACTAGCTGGCGTACAGCAGGAAACAGTACTGGGGCCAAGGGCCCCCTGTGAGGTGAACAAACAATTTATACATTCAGTCACAAAACACCAGAAAAACAATTCTGGACAGTTTCACAACACTAACAACAACAAAAATAAGCCATTCATTTCTCAATAAGCTTCTTTCTGTCTGAGGCACCAACATAAGCAAGGGTCAATTCACTAACAAATTTGGGCTTATTTTGGCAAATGGAACTGCGTTTGGATGTTCTTGCAGTAATATCCTGGCCTTGCTTGAAAAGAAAAACTACCTTGGTCTGTCTTCACAAGCAGAAGGGCCTCCAAGCAAATGCAAGACGATAAGGAGCATGCAGGAGCTACGAGGCTATTTAATGCCACTATTTATGTGTTAAAACTTGCTGTTCCAAGGCATCACTTATATATCAGAGCAAAAACATCTAGTTTATAACCATCTAGGAACAGAGGCAGGTTTTTTTTTCTTTTTTTTTTTTTTCCCTTAAACACAGGGTTAAAAATAAAGGTTTTTCAATCTCCCGAAGCCCCTCAGTTCTGTCATATATACAGTGAGTTTGCTTTGAGAAGATCTATGAAATAAAAACTGTCCCCCAAACATGGCTGGTAAATTCCCACATGGAAATAGCTCTAAGAACGACTCAGAACAGTTCCTCAAGGAGTTTTTTTCTTGCGCAGAGTTCAGTAATTTCCACCGGCTGAAGTTTGTTTTTCTTGTTTACAGCCATGGAGCCAAATGAGGTATGGGAGAGTTAGCCCAGTTCTATTCTCAGCCTGTGCTTCAAATAGAATTATTAAACTCAGCTTCAGCTGGATGCTATTCTGGCTCTTCTAATCAAACGGAATGCTTAACGAAGCTCCAAGCACAGCATCTGATTTTCATGATATGTTAGCCCAAGAGGTCCCAATCCAATTTTCAGATTTTGGGCTGAACTGGCGGATGGATGGTATTACGGAGAAGAGGCAAGTAAACCCAGACAACCTCTCTTGCCATCACAAGTAAAACTCCCCCACATCTCCACAACTTCAAAAGTGGAATAAAACTAATTTTCAAGTCCCTGAAGACCAGCTCTACCAAGGAAATTCACAAAAATATGTCACCAGACAATATGGAGCAGAGCCACATTTTAAAAAGATTTTAAAAAATCATCTCAAAAAGATCTTTAAGATAAGCAAGGATTCATGAATGTAAAAAAAAATATAAATTCCACCTCAACACAGTAAAATTGCTTAGTTTCCTGCCGCAAACTCCTCCTCACGCCTCACACACACTAACCAAACCCACGCACATGCAACTTGTTGTGTCTTAACCCGATAAGGGTTAACTCCTCATTGACCTGTACATAAAGTAGCATGGTAGCCAGGTACTTTGTTCGACATTTCGTGTAGCAAGATGATTAGTCACCAGCAGAACCTAAGCTAATCTGATCCAAAAAAATGATTAAGAAAAGAAGCTGTGGGTGGATCCTCTTTGAAAGACCACTACGGGTCTTTGAAAACTCCACTGCAAGAGGAAGAAAAGACATTTCAAGAGAAATGCCAAAATAAAACATTAAGAAGTCTCAGCTGGCGAGTGGAGACAAAAGCAGAGGACTGAAATACAGTTTATTAGGACAAGCTCTTTCCTGCCCCAGGACTGGTATTGCCTCCTATGTCAGCCAAAACCAGGAACCTTAGTAAACAGGAAGCTTTTTTGGTGTATTTGTACACTGAGATGAAGACAGGGCAAAGGCAGCAGTAGCTTCCTTAGAATAAAGAAAGCAGATTCTATAAATGCCATCAAGATGTAGCAGGATGAGCTGGAGTTCAAGACTTTTTAAAAAATAAGCTAAAATATTACACTTCTGCAACCTAACTACCTGACCTGCTACAATGCTCAAGAGTGGACGCAGCCATGTGGCAGTCACAGCAAAAGTGTGATGCGGGTATTCAGCACATTTTGCAAGTGTCGGGAAGAGGGGGTGTATGGGGGTGATGATGACAACACTGTCTGACCCCACATCCTGCAAAAGAGGGTGCAACTCCAGACACAGAAGCCTCGCTCTGGACACCCACGCTCAACAAGCATCCTGAGTCTGCATGCTTACCTCATCAATTTGTCCTTGCTAGCTATTGAAAGCTTCTTTCCCACTCACTCTTCCTCCCACTATGTAATTCTCCCCCTCAGCTTCCACTTCTCACCCTCTCACATTTCTTCATAATAAAACTCCCGTGTCACTTCTTCGAGAGACAAAAGGTTAGTCCAGAAATTCAAGATCTTCCCGGCGGTCCTAAAACTGCTGCGACATGGTGGGAGACAGGCCTGCTCAAACAGCTCTGAGATGGAAGGGGAAATCCTAAGACTACATTGAGCTGCCAGATCCCATCTGAGGTAAAACCTGCATTTAATAAAAACCACAGGGAAGGTCCAAGAACTTTGCAAAGTTTGGACGACCAGAAGCCCCAGGGCTCCCAAATTCTGCAGGCCAGCAGTCAAGCCCTTCAGAGGAACACATTGAGGAGTTCCACACGTCTTTACCTCTGAGGTCAGAAGGCTTGTAGCTTCATTTAGAACAAAAACAGCAGATAAGAGATGCTTTGGGTGGGGAGAGGAAACAGGATTTAAGGACAGTAATCGTGACAGCCAGTGTTACCCTGCAGCACTCTGTCCTGCAATTCCCACCTTAGACTCTAACTTACTTTTCTTGCTTTCCATAGGAAAAGGTCTGTCATAAAAAAATTAAATAAAATTTGCTTTTTTAAAAATATGGAAGAGAACATGCATGTGCAAGAACAGATGCTATGCTAAACTACCAACTCAAGATACAGCGATTCGTCAAAAACCTCGAAGTGTCACAGGCAGTCCAGCACAAGGCATTTTTAAGTGCAAGATCAGGCAGGGTCTATTAAAATGCAGACCCCTTTCCTTGGCAAAGATCTTTAAGCCTTCCAAGGGGAAGTTCCCATCACTAAAGTAGTACAGGATCACAGATACTGTGAGGAGACTGGAGTCACGGAAGAATATTACTCTGGCAGCACAATCCAAATATTCTCATTGCTAAGAATTTTTTTCCCCTCCTCAAATCTAATACATGCCTTCCCCACGTTGTTTACCTTGGATCTCTCAATGGGATCCAAGAGCAGAGAATTTGCTGCTAATCAAGGTCCATTTCTAGCCCAGTTCTGTCCAATTCCTATGTCCTGGGTCTGCGCCAGTATCTTGGATGCCTTTGCAGTGCCAGGCAATGCTTTGGTTGTCCTATTAGCCCCTCCTCCCAGGGGAGGGGAGTCAGTTTTCAACTTATTACCACAGACTCAAGGCAGCATTTGTTACTAATACTAAATTTGGCAAACGGTAAGAACACCCCACTTTCCATAACGCATTCCTCACACAGCAGAGCCGAGCCTGGAAATCCTATTTAGCATATACAGAATGGTATGTCTTGACTGCGCTGGGTTTCTGAGCTTTTAATGAGGGCAAATTGAATTTACGTTGCCAATCTAGATTTCAGAGATGCGTTCCAGTCTTTCCGCGTGATTAACAACCAAAGGGAGAAACCTTTGCTGTCCGTAAGGACCCAAGCTGCAAAGACTGACTTACCACAGACAGGGAAATACGGTTCTGAAGTCCTGACAGCAGGCCACAGGGAAAACAGCACTGGAGAGAAAGTCTTAACAGGAGGGAGTTATCTACACGGGTCGGATCCATCACCTCTCACTGCTGCAGGAAGAGAGGGAGGAGGAAGGTGGGAAGAGCAATGCATGGAGAAATCTCTTTATCCAAGGGATATCAATGGCAGAACAAGGCGGCAGGCTAGAGATCCAGCTCTCTTTCCACCTCCACATGCCCTCTCCCCACAAATGCAGCTGCTGCCACTTAACAGGATAAAAGGCGAATTGTTCAGCTCACTGCTTTCACATCTAGGAGGGGATTCTTTGCCAGGGAAAGGGCTGTCAGTTTTTCAGATGGACAAAGCAATGACAAACACACATCTCCTACACTACCCTTTTTTGCGTATCTGAAAGGGGAAAAAGGAGAAAGAAAAAAAAAAGTCTCTGTAAACATTTTAAGAGGAGACATTTTGGATTTTTTTTCTTAAGGGATAAAATAACCCTCCCCTAGCCCCACCTTAAAAGCACTGGCTTTAGGGAGCACTGAAAATGGAGATTCAGAACTGCGCACTCCGGTCTCGGAAGAAGCCCTCAGCCACTTGTGCTTCTCTGAAAGTGACGGTAATGGAGTTTGCCGTGATGTCTGTCACTGTCACTTCGCTGGGGGGCACAGTGGGAATCCAAGGGAGGCTGCCATCTACATCTGCTGCAGAAGGAGAGGCAGAAAAGAGCATGTTAGTGAGAGAGAGAGAGGGTGAGGGAGAAGGAAGAAGAGCAGGAAGGGAAAGATGGAAAAAGGGACCTCCTTTTTGACAAATCTGGGTGAAATCAGCCTGTACTGAGTCTGCACATAGAAGGCAAGAAAGAGCATGGGCAAGCCCTACCCTCAGAGGCTAAGGAAAAATGGAGGATCACTGCAGGATATAATGGGAAAAGAAAATAGTAATGAAGGCATCCAGACACACACCAGCATTGGAGCAGCCTACATAGAGGTCAAAAGACCCTCTAATACCAGCCAGCTCACCTAGTCATCCACCATTCCCTTATACCTCTCACTCCATCTTAGCCCCTAATTTAGTTCTGCGTCAGCAAAGTACACTCATCCGGGTGAGAGCTCACCTGCTTGTAAATGCTCTACCCTGCTGAAAAGTCAAAATATCACAAACTCTTACACATGCTCTTCAGATACTCCTAACACAAGTCAAAGGGATCCAAAATGGAAGGTCTTCCTTGTGCTGCACCCGCAACGCAGCCTGGGTGCGATTATCTCTAAAATCCATCGATCTAGTGCTTCATGGAGAGGCTGCTCTCCCTTTCTTATATCTTTTCTTTGCTCCCAGATAGCTCCACCCAAGAAACCCAAGCATCCCTGTGCTTTCTCACTGTAAGAATAGTTATCAGTCCCTCTGCCACCCAAAGCCTCACTTTTCTCCAACCCCCAGAGATAGCCACAAAAACACACAGAGAGATGATGAAAAACATACCCTCACTCTGTCGCTACACCTGTACTATATACTTTGTTGTCCCAGCCTGGCCAAGGAATGAGGGCCCCTTAGGACTGTATTTCCTGGCCTCTGTCTCAGACACCTGGGTGCCTATTTCCACCTCAGAAAGAGTCCAATCTGCCTTAACGATAACCAGAATTCCATTCGGGCCATGTTTCAACAGGAGAACAAAGCCAGTTTTACATTTCTGTAGTTCCGTTCACTCTTCTATCTCCAAGTGCTTTAAGAGCCCAGTGCTTCTTGGGGGGAACAGCCCCACGACATATTTGTCCATTGCCAGGATGCAACACTAGGTTCCTCTGCACTGCCCCACTGGTGACTCCCTGGATTTTGGTCACTGTTCGAGTCCCTCTCAGAAAGGAGGGGGTAGTGTTGATTCCTAAAATACAGACCTCTTCCCCAAATCCTGCCTAATCCAGCATGGCTACCAGCTACTCCTAGTGAGGAGTAACAGGATTTCTTTAGCTACTACAAGCATCACAAACACCAGTTTTCCACTCCTCAGGAAAGCTACGCCTTCAGAAGCTCTAATAATGCAGGGATAGAGTTTCCCTGGTAACTCAGAGCAACACACATCCCACAGCCCTCCTGCACAAGATGCTGGTATCCCTCCCCAAAATGCCAAATGTGCTTGGACGTGTCCTGTGCCTACATTCATGCTGTCTAGTCAGTGAGATGAGGCAGGAGTTACCATCATCTCTCTCATCTCCCTGTCACATAGCTCTACGGCAAGACACTTCAGAGAATGTGGGGTGTGGAGAGGAAAGGGAAGGAGGCGGCAGAGGGATGCACTATGGGTTCTTAGCGGCCTTTCTGTATGCTCCTCAGAGCAGCACTGTGGGAGGAGTGCTGGTGTCCCAACTTGTCCACTGCCAGCCAAGCTCCTTTTAGCAGAGCAGCAGCCTGAACATGTGTGGGTATGTGGACAGAGGCAGAGTTCATGACTATCACATTGTGTGTCACCTGTGCTGGGAGGAAGCTGTGAGGGAGGACTAACTTGCAGTATGTTCTGCACGTTTTCAAATGCTGAGAGAGGCATCACTGATATTAGACTACAGAGAGGCAACAGCACCAAAAAAAGCAGGTTAATCTGTACTATTCATCCAAACAAGAAGGGAACTTGCAGACCACAGGGCCACAATGTGAGCCAGTGACAGCTGCTCTGAGGACCTGACCTAAACCATAATCCCAGGATGAGGCAAGCAAGGAAGAAGCATGTCAGAACATCCTTCACATGCCCCAGAAATTTACAGCCAAGGGGTTTCTGGCCTTACCTTCTTTGCTGGTGTGCTCCATGGCCTCCCAGTCCTCAGGGCCCTGCCTGGCCTCTAGGCTCACTGCATCATTGAGGAAGAACTCATGCCTGCAGTTTCGGCTCTCCAAGCTTGCCATGCGGGGGAACTTCTTCCTCGACAGTCGCAGGTACTTCTGGTTTTTGCGTTGCTTCCGGAGAGAGAATGGCAGGACCGTTCCCCCAGTCTTCTCTGAGAACTCTGCCTGCCCTGGCTTGGCCCCTGGCAGGCTACTGTCTCCTCCTCCAAACCTCCGTGCAAGAGAGAAACAGAGTTTCTCCTTTCCCTTGTGGGCACTCCTCAAGTCCATGCCATACAGCCGCTGCCAAGACATCAACGCAGCAAGGGTGAGAGCAGAAATCGGATAACACAGTCAGGGCTCCCACTTGGGAGCCAGGAAATTGTTCAGTCCCTGAACATATCGATGAGCTAGGATATGTTGTGCTGCTTCTACAGCATTCTTGCTCTCACCTCTTCAACTGCTATCTCAGCTCTTCCTAGTATGTGCTTCCTAGGATTGGCTGCTTTGCTCGGCAACAGTCAAAGAGTACTGGAACTCTCCAGCTTGTGGCTACCTTTAACATGATGGAAACTCCAAGCCCAACATGAAATTAGAAGAGGACGCAAACCAAGTAACCTGCAACCACCCTAGCCCAGACAGCAAGAGCTGCTGTTAGTTTCTAGCTGTTTTGCTTTGCTTTTTTGAAGACCGGTTAGCTGTCTCTTCAGCTAATAGGTTAAAACTATCTGCCTATCCCCTGATTTCACATTGTTGTGCTAGCTTGTTACCTCCAATTTTGTCCATGCAACAGCAACTGGACAGTTTCCATCTCCCCGTGAACAGAGGAGGAGTGCAGCAGCTAACAAGTCAGAAATACACAGAAAAGCAAGAGGCTACCTGCAGCAGGAGGCGTTTTGGTTTGGGGCCTCTTTTCCTGTACCCTGATGCACGGTCTCTCTCTTCCCTGTAAAAGAAGAACACAAATCAAACCAAGTACTAAATACCACAGCACAAAACCTAGTCAGGACTTCTACCTTTTGCAGCACAGCTCCCACATTTCCTTCATTAAAACCCAATGGTTGCCAATGTGGGTTTGGAAAACATCTCAGAATTGCTCCTTGTAGGAGTGAAAGCCTTGCAATAACGGAATTTCTCTGACTCAGCTGATCAAGGATGGGTTAGAGAAACTCACCACCTCACATCACTCCAGTCCAGCCCTGGACTCAATTTAAACCTTAGGCTGACTGCTTGTTCTTGGCCTCATTTCCTGAACGGTACCAAACAAAGTTGCTTTAACCCTGTCTTCTCTGCCTCAGGCAACATCAGGGTACATAGATCAAGCACTAATCAGAGATCAAGATGTATCTCATCTTTGATTGACAAAGGGGCACTTTTTGCACACTATGAAATAAAGACACTATTTCCTTTTCCTGTGTCCAGGGAAAGAAAGAATATGCGCCCTTACTTTTCTTCATAAGCCACTAGCAGGCGAGGGTCCAAGATATGATCCTCTGGCTCCCATGTGCTGTATCTGAAGAAAAACATAAGGAATATAAAGTAAACAATACTTTAATGAATCAGACTCTCTGCAGGCCTGCTACCAGCGTGCTGTGGCCCTGGATACTGTCTTCACAAGGGTCGGTGGGGCCTGCCACAACATTGCGAGAGCTCTAAGGAATCCCAGCCGTTCCCTCCCCAAGTTCCCGTAGACAACACCTCCCCCTCCCAAAACAGGCAGGGATGAGCGTTAAGCAGCTCTTTGTAGGAAAACAGGGAAGACTTTCCTCCCCAGGGCCCCTTCGACACTGTTTGCAAAGCCTGTGCAGACACTCGCAAATCGATTTTAAGTCAATGCCTAAACAGGTCTCATCTGCAACATTCCCTAAAATCCAACAAAACCCATGGAACAATAGGACGTGATCTGATACAGCTTTCTGAAAAATAGGTCTTTCTTAATTTAGAGTCCTCGAAGAGTAAGTATGCTTTCTCACCTGCATTATTAATTACCTCTAATCACTGGAGCTGAAAGTATTAATTTAAGAAGAGTTTAATTTTTCTCCACTGAAGCTATTCAACCAAACATGTTTAGACCTGGGCCCTGAGGCAAGTTGATGGTGACTTTCCAACTATTCCTCCTCTCGCTCAACTCCCCCTGCAGCTTATTTCTATCTAAGAGAGGTCATAGGGATTCCTGTACCAGCACAGGAGGAATTCATCTGCATTGTGGTCAGGACTACTAAAACTGTTCAAAATGATCTTGATGCTCTGAAAGCAGCCTGTGAACAGTGTCACTCACTGCCTCATCTTCCTCCTCGATTGCCAGACAGCTATGACAAGAGTTAGATGCTCAAGAAAGGACTGAACACAATCAGCAGGCAATGTCAAAACCCGTGCCCAAAGGACGTAGCTATGCTTAATACTGTGGAGAAGCAGCCAAAAACTCCCATTGTGGAAGGCAAAAGGATCACAAGGTGGTCCTCGTGGCATGTTTGCTAAGTGGTCATGTTTGCCCAGAAAAGGTGGTTGGCCTGTCTCTGCCACACAACCTTAAAGGCAAGTCTGAAACCCCAAGTGCCTCAGACCATTAAGTTTCCTGGAACTTGAGGTCCAGGGCCTGGAGTCAGAGTCCCTCCCAGCTCCCAGGGAGGAGGGCCAGAGAGGGGCCACATGCACATGGGCAAGGGTGCATTTGTATCAGTGCCTATAAAGAGCAGGAAAGCGTTTTAGGATGTTTACATTTTTGGGTGAAGCACAGCCTGCACGAGGGGCACGTGACACATGCATATATGTACACAGGGGAGGTGGTTTGGGAATGCTTTTCACTTTCATATCTGTATTAAACAGAAGAAAGGTACTGAAACATAGGAGCATCCCTGTAAAACGGGTCTAGAAATGAAAGTACAATTGTTTTATAAAAGGGAGAAACAAAAATGCAAAATTCAGATACCCAAGGTGCACTGTACATCAGAGAGTTAAGAATAGACATGTCTTCATAACCAGCTGATCCCTCCCTCTAGCCTTTGCTCAAGCCTCCTACAGCAACCTGACTGTGGGCTGTCAAAGCCAAGATGCTGTTTAAACGGAGGAAGGTTTCCTCCCAGCTGTAGGGATTCTGGCACTCATTCTACAAATTTAAGAAAAATAATAACGCAATGGGGGAAGAAAGACACCAGATTGCTTTTCACGGGCAGGAGAAAAAAGAGAATTTGCTTTTTAAAAAAACTCAAACTGGTGGGCGTTGCCTTTTTCTCTGCAGCTCAGTTTCTGGCTTCGCTGCAGTGGCAAAACACTGCATATAAAAAAAAAAAAAAACATGGTTCAGTTTGCCGCACGCGCGTGCACGCAGAGCTATATATACAGCTACACACAGCCCAGGCTGCAGCAAAACTGCAGAGAGCAGGCACTCTGGAAAACATAGATCATATGATCTTCCTTCCCCCTCCCTCTACTCCTCCTCTTCCCCCTCCCCTCTTAACTCCAACACAAGTTGTAAACAAGCTTGTAGCTAGAATGAGATTGTAGCTCCTCCATTCCCTGACTCCAGCAGTACAATCCAGAAATCTGAGGTGCACCGCATTAACAAGATTTTTTTCATTGAAAAGAAGAAGAAACAGAAAAATATCAATTACATGGGACAGCAGCAAACTACTGAAATATCCTTACTTCCTTCCATGAAATCTCCAGTGGGAATGTTGGGATAACTGCTACAGAGATTACAAAGAGCAATACGACAAGGTTGGGGAGGGGAATGAAGAGAAACACAACGTGGGATGAGGAGACAGAGGATGTTGGAAGACAAAGATGCAAACAGCTTGTGGTGCTACATGCCATCACAGGCATATGTATGTTTAGAAACAAGGAACAGAGACTGCTAGCAGTGACTTCATTGTGAAAAGCATCTTGATTTTAAGCCACTCAAACCACTGAGTGAACAGTTAAAATAGAGGGGGTGGGGAAATCATTGCTTTTCAGATTTTGAAGGTGGGCTAGGAGGGAAGGTGTTTGGACATCTCACAGCATCAAAAGGACACCTTACATCTTGGTTCCTAAGGAAAAGGCTGTGCTTTTAATTCTCCAAAGAGACTTCTGTCACCCTCCCCAGAGTTCCAAGGTGCAGGGCAAAGGAAGGCAGCAGCAAGAATAAGGGCTGCTCTGTCCAAGGAAACTTTACGCTTTGCCTCGGCCCACCTTCTTGGCAAGTGACTTTATAAGAGAAGGACCTCAATGCATTTTTTGAAAGGAGAATGGGATAAACACCAGTATTCTGGCCAAAAGGGGATGGTACCTCACAGAGTACAAATACATTTCCCAACCTCTACCAGTGGTTAAATTAGGCTTGGCTACTTAGAAGGCTGAAGCAATCCAAGAACTGACCCACACTATATGGTAACTGGTGCTCAACGAGTGCAGATAGCAGAACTTACAGTCAAGAATACAGTCACCCCATCCCACCACCACCGGGGAAGGGAAGCAGCTACATGCCCTACAAGCACAAGGATTAGGCATGCAGGAACACACTTCAGCTTCTTGAACACCAGGTGCAACTGTCAGGACCGTTTCAGTGGGTCCTGCTTTGCGACTGCGGGGATAAACCCACAAAAGTAGCCCCCTTCGCTTAGCAACACATGGTGCTGTGTAATGTAGTTGTACCCACGCACATTGTGTATGTACACACACAGAACTACAAACAGGAAAGCAAAGACAGGGCCCCATATGGGATGGCTAGGAGGCTGTTCTACTAGACTGCTAGCTCACATAGTAGTATCCTCCAGTTGCCTAACCCTTTTAATCTCAAAGCATTTTACAGACTGTTTAGGCACAGAGCAATCACTCTTCTTCAGAGGCAGCTGCGTTTTAATAAGAGAAGTAAGTATCTGTAAACAGTGCACAGCAACACTGCAAAAAGTGTTGTTTTTTTCCTCCCTTTTTGCAACACAGCAACCAAAATGAAAGCAGAAAAGGCATTCAAAATAACAGAAAGTTTTGAACAAGGAAATGAAAGCATGCCAGTAATTTTCAAGGGACAAAGATCACCTGCATTTTGCTGCAATCAATAAATCTGAAACATTGCCCATTTCAGAGGCGAAGCAATAGGACAACACAACCAGACCAGCACCTTGTTTTCTACTCTGAAAGACTGCATACAGCTCTAAAAATAAAGTGGGGTCCTCTTGGTGCTGACTCAGAAAAGCAGGAGCCGTTCCAAGTTCAGAAGAATCAGGGTTCCCTGTTGAACTCATAATGAATTTAAAAACATTTGTATCTAGAAAGCATCTCAATGGAATATTTTAGCGGTAGCAAAAACCAGTCAGAATAGACTAGCACACAGTTTGTATCCCTCAGCTGCCAGTCTGGAAATAGATTTAGTTTTGGTTTGCGGCTCTTGGCTTTTGTTATCGTTTTTAGAATGAGGCACAAGAGGTTACCCACTAAGAATGAGATGCTCAGTTGCAGAGATACAGTGTAAGCTATTACCGAATATTAAAGGAAAAGACAAGTAAGAACACAACTTACTTTGGGGGCCATCCTTTCCACTTCACCAGGTATTCTACTTTACCCTAAAGGCAGAAAATGGAAGAAGAAAATAGGTGAACTCTGCAACCAAATATGGTCTACAGGAAGAGATGCAACTGATCAACAAGACTAAACTCTGCAGCTGAAAAGCTCATTTCCCATCACTTTATTTTTCAAAACAAAGCCACTTCCTCATTCAACGGGCACAACAGCGTATTTAAGCATGCTTGATCTACCATGAGTTTGGGATGATACCTAGGATGATACCTAGCAGGCAGAACCCCAAAAGCCAACTGGAAAGCAAGACTGCAACCATTCCTGCATTTACAGGAATCCTACATGAAGTCAGCATGAATAAATGGGAGAGGGAGATGTATTCCAGAAGCAAGTGTCAGAGGAATTTTTCTTAAGCAGAGAGAAGAAATATAGTATTTCAGAACCTATGAAGCATCTCTTTGCCATGTTTCCTTCAAGCTGGTATACACTTTACTCAAACACATCCATCACAGTCACTCAGCCTTTCAACCCAAGGAAACAGCAGCTCACAGCTGAAGTTCAGTTATCCATTATTTGTTCAATCTATGTACAAGATTTAAGGAGGAAAAAAAAAGAAAAAAAAGCATGGTGATTGGAAAACATGTGCAAGGGCTTCCTCAGTGATGTGCACATCTATTAAAATCCTTAATATTACACTGAGGGGCTTTTTAAGTTCTTTGCAAATCACGGCACAGGCCTTTGTGCCTGCAGGACGGTCCCCCCTCACAGACACTTTGACACAACACCACAGCAAGCAAAGCACTTGGGTACTCAAGCCAGGGAACCTTTTTTGTTTTCCTCACGGGGGGGCTCACCAGCTTCCCAGGGTTTTAAACCACTGTCCTATAATGAACTTCCCACTACAGGGTCTCTACACTTGCACGCCTATGGGATAATCCTCACAACACCCCATGGGGACAGACATCGTTTTGACTGTTGGGGAAACCGAGTTGCCAAGCTGGCTGCCAAACCCTTCCAAACCCTCCCTTGATTTGGGCTGTCCGCTTTCTTGCCAACCAGCGCTGATTTTGCAGGAACTGAACACCCCCAAGCAGTAAGATGCTCCCCACGGCCCAGGCTGTCTCCCGTCCGCGGAGACA